GGGGGGGGGGGGGGGTCAGCCATTAAAGAACCAAAAGCTGAAGTTAATTGGACTCTTGGCTCTTAATCCAATTATTTGTAGTTGGACAAAAAAACCCAGCAAGTTTAGCACGGGTTTGAGACCTAGTGAAGTGGACCAACTCCACTTGGATGCTAGATGGCAGCATTTAGCTGCTTACCAAGATAGCATAGGGTAAGCTAGATTATGCTTTAGTTTGAGGGAAAGCATGGGGGGCAGGCAATGGAAGATTAGTTTTTTTTTTTCCCCCCCCCACAGGATCCACTGCAGAGCAAGCCATCTTTGTATGGGGGATCTATTAACCCTATTAATGGTTCCCTTCCCCACCCCCTAAAAAGCTTAGTTACTTGGGGTATGGTGCATTGAGGAAGAGGGAATTTACTAGTGACTTTATAGTAAAGTGTCAGCTTCAGGGTCATAATATGTAGTCTTTAGGAATGCCCAAACTTGCTAGCAAGAGTAGTAAAAAAACAAAAAAAAAAAAACACTGAACACACAAAAAGACACCCTCAAGAAGTACCTGCTAGACTTTGCTGCTCTCCCTTCCTTGCTGGTACAGCAGGTGGTTTTGACAGCTGGAAGTCTTTGAACATTTCTTTTACATCCTTCATTTCTTTATCTCCAAGAGGGTCCAATGCAGTGAATGCATCACTTTCCTTCTTTGAAAACTCTTTCTGAGGTGCAGTTCTAGGTGGTGGCTGTGGAGGGCTAGTAGCTGGGATAGAAGGTGACTGAGCAGATAGTGTGGTAGGAGGGAAAATGGTGCTCTGGAAAGGGTTGGTAATAGTGGATGGCTGTGCCCAAGCAGTAGGGGAAACACGTGCTGGCTGACCCCAGAGACCAGCAGACTGAGCAGGCGCTGGGCCTGGAAAGGATGCAGGTTGAGTACCAAAGGCAAGTGGCTGGGCAAAACTTGTAGGCTGGGCACCCATTACTGATGCAGGAAACACCGATGCAGCCTGACTGAAGACAGATGATTGAGTACACCATGGTGATACTGAAGTTACTGGCAAGCTACCTGAAATGGAGCAATTATACAGAAACAGTTCACCACTTTTCCCTTTACCACATAGACACTAATATAGAAAAATGTTAGTTCCATCCTGCCAGTGTAGTCCTTATCCTTTAAGGACCATCCTTAAAATGGAGAAAAATAAAGTCTGATTTGCATTAAAAATGCAGGCTTGCTATGCACATCACTAGGAAATAAACACTAATGTACATTCATTGTGTGCAACTAACCTGGTTCTGTAGTGTTTTTACAGAAGTGTCTGTAACAAGCTCTTGCTCGAGTAGAGGCTAAAATAGGCATTCTTGACTAATCTAGTGCTTTCTGTACTGTGGTCTCTACTTGATCACATGGAAATGGGACTTAAATACCAAGGGCTTGGCTTGAGAGATGCCAGACAAGTCAGCCTTAAATATGAACAGTCTGAGTTCAGCTTAAGAGGAGTTAAGTAGCTTAAAGCAGGTTTGGACATGTATTCATGACCAATGGCTTGAAGCATTTTAAAGGTTTCTTGCAGAGTCCCCTGTGGTTCAATGGTAGAATCCTTGTCTGCCACAAAGTAGACCTGGGGTGATTCCAAGATGCTTATACAAATGATAGCCAGAGGCAAAGTCTGGACTCAGTCTAGCTTTTAGATCCCATCTCAAAACAGCCTGAAGGAAGGAATGGAAGGTCTGGGTAGCCTTCACTTCTCCATACTCCTGCCTAGGCATATGCATTAAGAGGGTCTGGGTGACCTCATGCAGACACCATGATCCAGAAGGATCAATGTTTGCCAAGGTTCAGTTGCAAGAACTGTGTATTCTGTTAAGGTAGGCCATTAGTGCCTTCAGAGTTAGAGGCCCTCCCAGCTGAGACTAATAATTGTGCTTATTCTCTCTAGAAGGCTGCTCTCCCCCTAGCATCTTCTAGAGAAGTTAAGCCAAGAACTTGTTTAGTATAGAAGAAATATGGTTTAAAGCAGCAGCTAGGCTGGCCACCTGCCAGTTCAAGTTGCCCTGTATTAAGTCTATTTTGGGCCAAGAAATATTCAAATTGGGTCCCCTGTTCTCCCTCCCAGCTGCTCAGACAGGAGCCAAGCAAGTCTATACATATTTCTTAGATTCTGTCCTTCAGAAGACTACAGACAAGTTTGTAAGCTTTATATTTTACATAGCATGCAATACCTGGATGCCATCTACTTCAAGGCTATAGTCTTAGTACCTGGCTATTTAGCTACACATCACAACTCATACAGCTTTGCTACATTGGGTAGTCAAGTTTTACTGGACCCTTTTCATTTTAGGCTCATTCCCCCCCCCCCCCCCTTTCTCTAACTTACCCCAAAAATACAATCACAAGCACACTCCAAATGTTTGTTC